ACACTCGTATATAGCCTCTGCCAGGGAAGTCCTACTCACTGCCTTCTCGTGGCATTACTGTTGTTTACGAAAATGAGAGGACGAAAAGCGAATGTCCGGCACCGGCTTTAACCGGACCCCAAACCAATGGTGCACATGGGCCGGCTCCAGTATTCTGAAGGAACAAATGGCGTATGAACCAATCGTTGATCACCGGCTTCCATGGGACTGCATCTCCTTACGATGCTTCACTGCCTTGTGGGTCAGACGTTCAGGTCGAAGTCTCGGAGTGTGGCCCCCTGAGAAAACCACGTGGTTCGGTTTGGGCACCCGAGTAGTATCACAGCCCTCACACATATCAAATGAGATTTGTGTGGCGCATATGTATTTAGTGCCTCCTTGTACCATTATCTATGTGTTCAAATGAAATAAATAAATAAGACTAAAAGTAATCCATTTTGAAAATACTGACTCATATTTCTGAAGGATAAGGGATACTAAAAGAACAGTTATTTATTACTTCATAATTGTCCATAATTGTTCTTCATCTAATATCAGTTCGTTATAAAACTAATCTATTCAAATAATTAATATTGATTATATATACATTCTTGTTCATTTGTTGATTATTTTAACCTTTGATAATGTTTGACACTAAGTAAAGTTTTATTTTTAATAAATTGTTATCTGAATATTTCATTTGTCGGTATACATCATTACTATGAATAGTTATAGTTTTATTAATTATTACTGATAATTTCTCATAGCCCATATTTTTCTCGTATCTAACTTCACAACTATCAAAAAAATTTATATCCATACATAATTTTATTTGTATCCAACAGTTCGGTATATATACATCATAATTTTTGAATTTGACTTTTATTCATTTGTTTTAATGTGAACAGATGCATGAATGATATTCACTAGATGAATATGTTTATATACTATTTGAATTTTTATATTTTGAACTCGTCAGTATAGTGTTTACCCGTGTATTTATGCATAATTACAATATAATACATAATAGACTGAATTTCTTTTTATTTCTCATCTACTTATTACCAATTTTGTTATAGGAAGAAATAATGTAAACTTTTCATTATGGTATTTTCTGTATGCGCTTTAGTGAATTCTCTTTGTTTTTCTAATACTCGTTATTGTCTTACACAATAATTGGTACAAAAAAAAGAAAGATAATCGTTCCATATAAATAGGATAGAGATAAATTTAGTTAAGTATTGGTGGCTTCAGAGAATTATAGTACAACTACTACCATAACTAATTATAAATAGTCTTACTGTTTCTCATCTCACTTTTACTAAAAGGAGTCCATTTTATCTGCTTCTTTGTGTCTATGATTGCATATTAATGTATGTTTTGTGTGTGTGTAGGTGTGTGAATAGCAAGGAGGGTGGGAGCTTTTTTTCACTGTTGTTTTTGTTTATATATTGTACATTACTATTATGATCATTAGTTTCGTGTTATTGACCTTTATATAATTTGATGAATTAAAGATAAGATTTTATACTCTTTACGCGTTGTCTACTTTTGTTTTATTTTTCTCGTTGTTGTTGGCGCCAGTTTATTCATATGTGTCATTCATGGTGCTGTTTTCAGTTGTCATTTGTTCCGCTTTTTCTAAGTATGCCTGTTCGTTGTAGATGTGTAGATTTTCTGGTTAGACCAAGCCCACCCTTGTATATATATATATATATATATATATATATATATATATATATATATATATATAATTTATCATTTCGCTTCGGTGAAAAAAAAGTACAGAGAGTATGAGTCAGTTTTTTCTGTTGTTAACTCTTTTCATTCACGTAATAACAGAACACAATAACCATTTCTAAAGAAAACAAAGTTATATCTATATCATAATGATTTCATACATATCGTTTATACTCTATATATAGTTTAATAGAATCAATGTCAACCAATTTTTTCCTGTATGTATTATATCTTTTATGTTAAAAAGCCAAATAATGAAGAACCTTTTATTTTAGTGTAACTGTGATGTAATATGACTGATTTTGGAGTGTCTTTTTTCATTAATTGTTTTAATTTTCAAGCATCAGTGAATTAATAATGAAAGCTAACAGAGTTGTTTGCATATTTACATTAGCAAATTAATTACCTGTAGTTTTTCTAATGATAATAATTATTCAGATTTGTTAGTGAATATCTCAATAATAATGATTAATAACAGAAAACGTTAGTTGAAGTGTTTTTGTAGAAGTGGTTGTTTTCATTTGTCGGTTTCGTCGTCCGAAATCGATCCTCGTTTGGGATCCATATCGATTGGTACTAGTTGTTTGATATTTACTTTTGAGACTCGGCCCTGATTTCTATTTCTTACGACGTGGTAGATACACACTGTTGAAATGCCCCATACCATAACAAAACTGCTATTCAGTACTCTGTGGTTTTAAATGATACACCAATTGAGATGAATCTGTTACGAGTACAACACACATAACGTACTTTTTGTGTGCTAATATATGGTTACTGATGAGTCAATTGAGTTTCCTTGATAATTTCAAGCTCTGGAAGTTTGTCCAACTATGGTCTAATAGAAAAAGTTCAAGATTTAGTGTTGCCATCTAAAGTAATTTGGATTTTTTTTGTATCCGTACGTAGCCTTTTGAAGTCATTAATAAAGTTATCGGTTGTGCTGCTGTCTTCTATTTGGAGTGATTATTCATAAGTCTATGTATGCGAGAGTTGTTTAATAGGTTCGAAGCTTCCTTTGTCTATTCCAATGTAAACAGTCCGTAAGTCAAAATATAGACCATGAATTTGTATTTGGTTACAGAATTTTGATAACGTTAATAGAGTAAGTACTTTTGCGTTTCTGAAATTCATTTGTCCTAGGTATGTTTCCTTTAGATCAGTCGTTCTCCTTCTTGATTCCGACAACTTAACCGCCCCTTTTACACTTGGAGTTTGATTTAGTTTTGTGAAAATTACTTTGGTATGCAAAATAATTTCATCACGGACCGACATCAATTGCTTTACTATTATAAACGAGGGGACAATGGGTAGCGATTTCGTCGTCTTTTGGGTCTCCTTAGAAGTTTGCAACAATGAATCCATCAGGGATAGAAATGGGGACCTTTAGATCTTGCATTGATCTCCTTAGTTTTAGACCACTAAGTTAAAATACAGTGGTTTATGTAAATAGTCCCAATCATTTCGCGATATAGAATGTCATTTATGCAATACTGTCGGTAATGACTGTCTCAGTTTCCATAGCCTACACCTTTCGAATAGAACCTCGGAGATTCATTTCGAAGTTAGTCATCAATACGATTATCCGAAGTTAGAAAGGTAAACCACTGGGTTTCTCATCCCACCAACGTAAAAGTATCACACTCACTGGGAGATTGCAAGGTCCTGGTTTCTATCCTCGATATAGTCGTTGGTGTACATACCTATAGAGTCTTATTCTAAGACAAGACGGTTGTTGAAACCTTTCTGGTTCTCGCTAATAACCAAACTGATATCAATTTACGACAAATATCACTTCTGAAATTTATCTGCAATTTAGACTGTAAGATTATAGACTAGTGAGTTCGTAATATGTATCTACTTATGCTACACAATGTGAGAATTTGTCTTATTCTCTAAGTTGATTCAGTATAGATTACTTTACCGTTCTCTTAATTACGTAATAAAGTTACTATCAACTTATAACTTTTAATCATTTTATTTTGATGAATAGTTTTGCATTATACAATTATACATATTTCATGTACATCCTATTTATAATTTAGAAAACCTTACTACTCACTGTAATGTCTAGTTATAAACTTACATTTAAAAAAAAATAATTACAGATCTGTTTTGCTGATTGATTTCAACGTATGTAAGATTTAACTGAGTGTAAAAAAAAATACATCACAAGAGTTTATATGTATCTTCCTATTTTTTCTCAGTAGATATGGACTTTTATTCTTATTCTGTTTACCTCAACTATTATTTTTCTCCGCGTTCCTTGCTTGTCATTAGGTTTATCTTCTCATAGTGACTTCTTTCTATCATCTCTTTTTACAAGTAGGTGTGCAATAGTTTTAGTATATACTTGTTGAAACTAAGTGTATTGAAATATGGTTGACTACGTAATTATATAACACTTAAGTAGAGATTCGAATTGCTTCGTTTGATGATTTCTTAACACTTTATTATTAGGTCATATTTGTTTTAAGTAGAAATAACTGTAATTTTTACTTGGGATTGCGTATATAAAACCTTTTGTTAAATGAAGATTACATAAATAGATGGTGGTTAGAGGTAGTCGACAGGAAACCCTGGATCCGGGTTTCGTGCTACTTGGCTGATTGGCAGTCTTGCAGGAGGTCGGTCGCGGCCCAGATAGCTCAGTAGTAACGTCTCTGACTGTGAAGCTGGGTGACAAGGGATTGAATCCGTCAGGGAGTACCAGTTCGCTGAAGATTAAAGATACACCTTGCTAATGAGTGCCAAATACCATGAAACTCGGGTTCAAGGTTTCCTGTTGACTAATTCCAACCACCATCTAATCTCAATATAGTGCACACAATGTCAAGTCACTTAGACTAGTGGCCACAATGTAACTTGATCGATAGCATTCGATTTGCACTAAAAAGGACTAGACAAGCATGACATTGATCACCACCCAGTGATCAATCAATTGTGAAGATTACAGTAATCATAAAGTAATAATGGGTTTTGTTTATCTTTCTATTTAGTATAATATAATAAGTGAATTCATTGGACATCTAGTGAAATGTCGAATATGTAACTAAAACCAATTATCCCTGAAGTATTTTTGTAATTTCGTTATTCTTTAAGGTTTAATTTTCACGATTAGAGCCTCTGATATCATTTAGGTTAATGTATTCAGTGTAGTTTTCTGGGAATATTAACTTATGAAGTTTCACTATTAATGACACTTCAATGAGTTACATAAAATAAATTTTTCACTACATCGAATCATTTCGCTAATATATTTCATTCCTTCAATTTTACAGATATTGTTTGTCTGGGATTGAATACGGATTCAGAATATCCTAACGATATGATGCCATTATTACTACCACCGTCTGCATTATCTTCATTGTCATCATCTTCCTCATCGTCAACAGAATCAACATCTGCAGAAACACAAATCTCTTCAATTCAGATGGATCAGTCATGTGATTCAGGTAGGGTGATATACATATATATGCTCTAGTTTGTTGTAAGTTTTATGGTGGTATGTAATACACCTACTTTGTTGTTAAAATTTTGCCTATATTGTTAGTTTCTCTATTGAATGAATGCACAATGTTTCAACCCATCTCGAAAGCAATTCGCTTACATAACTTGATGGTACTGAAGATTATTAAATCGTGGTTGTAAAATTTTGATATTCGGTGTTAACAGCATGTCTTCATAGTCATTTACATGTCATTTTATCCTTGCTGTTTGCTGCTATGTATCGATGATAACTATCGATTAACATGTTTTGTAATACTACAGTGTCTTGACAATTGCGCTTCGATTTATTAAAAACAACTAACATTATTAGTTCACAGTTTAGGATATCTCAAATTTTGTTGAAGATAAAGAATACACTAACACATTTATAAAGCCGAATATATGGATATATCTATGGTTTAAATAAATACGGAATATCGTTAATATGGTATGTTTTGTGGTAAACAATCACTGGTTAAAAAATGGCTTCTCAGTTTCCCTTTCATGTATGATCGTTACAGTTGTTTAAAGAGCAATCCATCATTAATTTGTGCAAATAGGTACCAAAGTACATTTTTTGTAATTGGCTTTGAGCCATGTTTTTTGTCTAAGAAGTACTAATAATATTAACTAGCTATTGTAAGCAGAGCCTTAATGTAATTTGAACCTACAGCCCAATCATTGGAGGTAAAATGGTGAAACTACTAGGTGTTTAATCCAATTAATAATCAAACCACAGTTTCAAGATATCCTGTTTTTCTCTAAAGGGTTGGTTGTTATCATCTTACGTTCCAGATAGATTTTCTGGTTTTGTTCGATGTAATTGATTTGCATTCGCTTGGCACTTGGGTGCGAGCCACTTTCTAAGTGTGAAGGTTAATGATGTCACGTGGTTACTGAAACTGGATTAGGTGAAGGGGTTTCGGACCTTGAGCTTAACAACTGGAAGTCGAAAGTCTTAACCACTAAACCATCACTTCATCAAATTAAACAGCTCATTCGAGTAGGCGATGGCTAAAGATTTATAATATATATGTTTTCAGCTTCGACTTAATCTCTCACTCGTAACCTTGGTATGACCAAAATTTTATCCATTCGCTTTGGAAGTTTCATTAAGAAGTCTTTACGCCTGTAACTATTTAATTTTGATAATTTTACAAGTAATCCTATTCTGTTTGATGCATTACTCATGAATATTTGTATTTTCGCTTTTAATTCTTTAGTTATATCATATGATCCAATTATAAATAATTCTTCATCTCCGTTGCTTGCCAATTATAATACCTATGCAAAAACAAAACTGACTTACTGTTCACCTCAGTTTCTTCAGAAAATACAACAAAAATTGCACATGAATTTAATAAATTCTGTTTCATCTTTGACCAAATGGAAGAGATTGAAAAACAATACAAATTTTACATTATCTACTTACTTGGCTCCATCCAAAGATTTCAATCATACAACACTACCACCACCACTACCAACAACAACAACTACTACTACATTGACATCTGTAAGTAGTTCTGATGATGAAATGCATAGTTGTAATTTCATCTTATCTTCTAACAACCGTAGAAATGATAATCCTTTACAAAATTCTAATCTACATTTTAACCGACTTATTTCTATCAGCGATCATTCTGTTACAATAAATAATGAAAAATCTGACCTACATAGTCGTCTTCCTTCTCCCTCTCCTCTACATCATCTTAAACCATGGGCAAATATTTCCTATTGGGAATCACATCATCATGTCGGACGTAGATGGTATCAAATTACAAATCGTAAATTAAATATTGTCTACAATGATGTTAATATTAATGATGATGATGATGATCATAATAATAGTGATGTAAAGGACAAACTGTATTCATCTCCGAAACAAGCATATATACATAAGGAAAATCATTCAAATTATAGTAGTAAATCTCAAAATGATTATATATATTTATCTTTACTGACTTTATATCAATCGAATCATGTAAAATATAATTGTAAATCAGATTGTAATAGAAGTAGTAGTGAACTTCTCAAGAATCATTCTACCACTCCCTCTATCACTTGTCCTACGAATATGATTAGTGGTAATAACAGTAGTATCATCAGATCATCTTCAAAACAATGCAAAAAGTGTTATAATTATGTGGATTCATTCGACAATACATCTCTTATACCAAATTTAACTATTCATTCATCAATGTATAAATCATCTTCTGGTTGGAAACAATGTTGTCGTTTAGGCAGCCAGGGTATTTCTCTTACACTTACCACTTATGGTTGTGTATGGTTAAGTAATCAAGCGATGGCTACAAACTTACCTATATTTGTATCATCACCTTGTTTGCAGTTTCATAATGCGAATTCTTCTTCCTCTTCTTCTTCATCACTTAATAGTAGTACTGAAGACTTTCTTGTTGATAGACCTGTATATCGTGTACCAGCAGGTTATTCTTTATTAGTTTTCGACCTTTCATTTTATGAAAACTGGTTGCAACAACATTCTTCTTCATCATCTTCAGCGTCATCATCATCATCTTGTCGTCAGTATTTCAGTAACAACCATAATGGCGACAACAGTCATTTAAGTGATAATAATAATAATAATAATGTGGATTTTAACGAGTTGCATAAAACTCATTTATGGGCAAAAAATAACAATCTATGCAAAAATCCAATTATACATATAAGTTTAGGTAAAGGTTGGGGACCATCATATCGTCGACCAGATGTTACACATTGTCCAGCACGTTTAGAGGTGTGGATTAATTTAGAACATCTGTTTCCTTTATTTATTTCATCAAACAAATAAGAAATTGTAAAAACAAAAAAAAAATAAAATTTATTTTTCCAATATCATTTTCATTATCTTTTCTCTCTTTTTTCATTTATTTTTCTTGGTATTATTGTGATTTAATAATAATAATAATCAAAAGAAAATTATGTATATACATAACATGTGTAAATAATGAGAAACTGTTATATACCATTGAACTATTAGCATTTTATTCGTTATCAATTTTATATGCTACTTATTTGATTTATACTAATTATTATGAGTAAAAAGTAGTATTCAATAATTTCTGAAATTTTTTCACTATATCTATACTATACTGTGATGACATATGTATATGTTTATTCTCTTCATTTTATCGAATATAATAAGAATGATTATATTCACATTTGTGAATATGTACTTTTTTATATGATGATCTCATGTATATTCTTTTCATATTTATTAAATAATTAGTTTTTATAAAATTTCTGACCAGTAAAAGTGTTTTTTTTTTTTAAAAAAAATTATTGGGAAGTTTTGGATGTATTTGAAGAGTTGTTATTCACTTGTGAATCGAATGCTACTTTTTTGTATCTGGTCGTCTTACTTACTTACGCCTTGCGAAGGAGCATAGGCCACTCACCAGCATTCTCCATCCAACACTGTCCTGGGCAATCCTTTCTAGCTCGTTCCAGTTCTTATTCATTCCTTTTACATCCGCTTCTATTTCCCGATGTAATGTGTTCTTTGGCCTTCCTCTTTTCCACTTTCCTTCATGATTCCAAGTTAGCGCTGATTGTTATTATTTTGGAATCGCTGATCACTTATACTCGGAACAAAGGGACATCCACAATTCCCGCGACGCGAAATTAAAAACACAAGACTAGTATAAGTGAAGATTTATTAGCCCCAAAACGCTATGATGATGACAACCTCCACAAGAGTGGTCAATTTAAAGGTTTACTATTTTAATATGTAAAATTGTGTAATTCACTTACAATTTATTTTTTTTTTGTGCCTTATTTCGACCACTATCGTAAAATTATGGATTTATGGACTGTTGAGGCTGATGATGAAAATATTGAAGACTAATGTTTTTGTATTTTTTATACTTCTAGTTAGGTTGTATGACTTGTTTTTGAGGTGCAGTTTTGACTCATCTTGATTTTCAACCCCCCCAAATACTGTCTTATTCAGCGGATTTTTCCTACATAGTAGTATCCTTAGTTTCCTGAAACCATATATTGTATTATATAATCAAACTGTTATCACCAAACATAGTGTATTCTTGGAAAGTGTGGTTTTATGCTTAAAACTGATGATATTCCGATCGCTTCACCTTCATTGAGAACTGAGAAGTCACCAATTATTTTAGATTTTCTCAAGTAAGATGACTAACTTAAATAGCTTCCTGTAGATCGAAGTGTTTAGTCAGTCTCTGTCTGTTCGGTTATCATAAGAGCATTCAATTTCTTTCTTATTTAAATAAATCATAAGACTGATCTAAAGAGACTGAATATAGTTTCAACTTATCAGTTAGACTTACACTACTAGTATACTCCGTGAAGTCATTTCTTTCAAAGTTTATTCATTGACATTAGATAATTCTTAAGTTCGTATGAAAGGACTCAGTTAACCGTATTACACTCAGCTTGATATGCCTGTTGTAATATAGTGATACTTAAACGTACTAACAGGAAGATTTCATGTTTCAATGTCGATTAAGATAACGATCAATCGCAATTGTAATATACGAACCAAGAAGCAGCTAGTAATTATGCACCTCGAGTTGTTTTCTCTTCCAGGCAGTTTGAAAATCTGTGAACATCATAAACGTTATTGTCGAATAGACAAATATATGACTCAAAGATTTTTAACTTTGAGTATTTGTCGCATTTCAAATTAACACAAAAAAATATTTAATAAGATAGACTTCAACGAGGAAATCTAAACCGTTTAGCACATATCGCAACAGATTATGTGAATCCATATAATTTCTATTTATTTACTTTAACACATATATATTGGTACAGGGAGGCACCAAATATATATGCGCCACACAGATCTCATTTGATATGTGTGAGGGCTGTGATACTGCTCGGGTGCCAGACCGAAGCAGGTGCTTTTCATAGGGGGCCGCACCTCGAGCCTTCGACCTGAACGTTTGACCCACAATGCAGTGGAGCATCGTAAGGAGATGCAGTCCCATGGTAGCCGGTGACCAACAATTGGTTCATACGCCATTTGTTCCATCAGGATACTGGAGCCGGCCCATGTGCACCATTGGCTTGGGATCCGGTTAAAGCGCCGGACATATAATTTCATGATACGGTTGTCCCGAAACGTTTTATAACCAACTACTATACTATCTAAAATCGCATCGACGAAAGCGGTGGTTATCCATGCCTGAAATATGCCCTAACTACTGCAGTCAATTAAAAGGTCATAAAAGTATTGTAATATGTATAACACTGGTTCCCACTAAACTTTATATCTGTTTGGCAACTAGTCAATTGAGTAAATTTTTCAACGAGAAACAAAACGTTTATTGTGAACAATATATTTCTATATCAGCCATTTCTTTAATTTGATTCAGCATTGAATTACTTTGTAAGTATATAGAAAATCACATAAAATCCTTATAATTGTTATATCTTGCCTTGGATTTCATATTATTCTTGTTGTCTAAGTTGTCTGTCTTATTCGATTGTCAACTGCAGCGGGAGTAGTAGCATAGTTTATCATTTCTTTTGGCAGTACACTATCATCATCATGATCATCAGTGGATATCAATCTGATTCGTGGATCATCTATTATATTCAAGTGTCTTTAAACGAAAATAAAGAAACATGAAACAAATATTAATGAGAAAATATGTCAGTTTTTTCTTTTTGCAGGTATACTAATTAATTAGGTATAACCATGATCGTTAGAAATACATCGATTGTAACATAGGATTATATATTTGTTGGATTTTTATGTAGAAACAGAATATGATTTATAGTTACTGCTTTACACTGTATCTTATGTTTTTGCCATGAAAATTTAATTAGATCATGGAATGCTAAATGAAATGAAGTGAAGTAACACTTTTGCATCTCATATCAATTTTATGTGTCAAAATGTCATCGATAGAAAATTGCAGTTCTATTGATGATGTTGGATTTTACTACTATGTGTATGAGACGGCGAACATATTCGTGAACTATTGCAAATCTATTCCGGGTATTTACGAATAAATATCAGTCTCAGACATCCTATAAAATTAAAAATTTTCTATAATTAATGGTGCATATACACTTCAAGTGTTGCCCCCAAATGCCCTGGTACGGCCGAGAGTGGGGAGAGTCCGCTCTCCCTCTCCAAATGCTCTCACATGGCCTGCGTATATAGCCTCTGACAGGGAAGTCCTACTCACTGCCTTCTCGTGGCATTACTGTTGTTTACGAAAATGAGAGGACGAAAAGCGAATGTCTGGCGCTTTAACCGGACCCCAAACCAATGGTGCACATGGGCTCCAGTATCCTGATGGAACAAATGGCGTATGAACCAATCGTTGGTCACCGGCTACCATGGGCCTGCATCTCCTTACGATGCTCCACTGCCTTGTGGATCAGACGTTCAGGTCAAAGGCTCGGGGTGTGGCCCCCTAAGAAAACCACCTGCTTCGGTTTGGGCAACCGGGCAGTATCACAGCCCTCACATAAATCAATTGAGATTTGTGTGGCGCATATGTATTTGGTGCCTCCCTGTACCTATACTTATGTGTTAAAATAAATAAATAAAAATAAAACTTCAAATGTTAGATTTGCTCTGATGATAAGGGACAATAAAGTCGCTACTATCAAACATTTACCAACAGGCTTGAGCTTTATAGTAAGAGTAATAAACTATTCCGTGAGTTAAAACTTTGGTAAGTTCCTATAACACTTGAATGTAGAACATAATAATCAATAATCACTGAATCAGAAGACAAATATTCATGAAGGATTAATATTATCAGATGTATAAAACTCACTTTAAATTTGATCGTCCATTGATAACAATTAATGAATTATCACTAGATATCACTTCACTATTCACTGATATACCATCTAAATATTGTTTTAATAATAATTTTAATTGAATATTTTCTTGTTCTAACATATTGTATTCTTTCATTATTGCTAAACGATCTAATTGAACTTTATTATATCTTTTCCAAAACATTTCAAGTGGAAGGCATCGTTTTAATATCTGAAATTTTTAAAAAATCATAACAGAATATTATTATAAATTAATTTATTAGCTAAAAATAATTAAAAACTTTCACATAGAAATAATGTCCCCAAATTCCCTGGTACGGCCGAGAGTGGGGAGAGTCCGCTCTTCCTCTCTAAATGCTCTCACATGAACACTCGTATATAACCTCTGCCAGGCAAGTCATACTCACTGCATTCTCGTGGCATTACTGTTGTTTACGAAAATGAGAGGACGAACAACGAATGTCCGGCGCTTTAACCGGATCCCAAACCAATGGTGCACATGGGCCGGCTCCAGTATCCTGAAGGAACAAATGGCGTATGAACCAATCGTTGGTCACCGGCTACCATAGGACTGCATCTCCTTAAGACGCTCCACTGTCTTGTAGATCAGATCTTCAGGTCAAAGGCTCCGAGTGTGGCCCCCTGAGCAAATCACCTGCTTCGATTTCGATACCCGGGCAGTATCACAGCCCTCACACAAATCAAATGAGATTTGTGTGGCCCATATGTATTTGGTGCCTCCCTGTACCAATATCTATGTGTTAAAATAAATAATAAATAAATTGTTCATCTAAACTGGTTGTTCTTCCTTTGACATATGTGAGCTTTTTGAAAACAAAACATATGAGATAAAGGTGAAGATTTTCTAACTCACGATGATGATTTTGTTGAAGGTACGTTTCTTCGACCTGGTTGGTTTTAATAGCGAAACTCAAAAATGCCTATAATTTGATCGATAACATAATTGATTATATAAAATTTATCTTTAAAAAAAAGCGAACAACTGACTGTTTTTTTTTGACATACGTTAATCACCAGAATCAATAGAGGAAAACGAGAGACTCTTGTGTATCATAAACCAACCTATGCTGCACGAATTCTGAGTTTATCAAAAACAACTACTTAAAAACTTGCGATTCGAAAGAGCGAAGACATAGCAGTATAACTACCAGGCAAAAAATGAGGAACCAAACCTAACGACCTTTTCAACAAGACAGCCACTATGTTTATCAACTCCATCAATAAGTACAAAATCGAATATTGAAACTAAAAAAAAACCGAATCCTTCTACCACATATGCAGGCAATAAAGGAAGTCACAATTGCATTGAGAATAGGTGTTGTGTTATAAGCCAGTAGAAACACTTCAATTTTATGCAAACCAAACGATGAAACGATAAAAGACTAGCCGAATATCATTCAGAAAATAAACTGCTCTAACTGATATATATATATATATTGAAACCAAAAAGAAAGAAAACTGATAAAACCATGGAAATATAAAAAAAGCATCACCTTCATCATTTCTTCATTCTGTTCTTTTTCAAACGATTCTTGCACAATACTTTCTTCTTCCGCTGATAAAGATGATGAATAGAATGGTGTAACTTTTTCCTCTTCTGTTTCATACTTTCTGCATTGTTCACCTAACTTAATAATTTTCTCTGCTTTTTCCAATAAACATTGAACCTGTATTTAAATTATTTTTTTTAAAAATTACGTGAATTCATTTACAGTATAAACCAACTAAAAAAATGAATATGTAACTACCTTGATTATATTAAGCTTTCATTTATAAATTTCATAGTAGCCCCCAAATGCCCTGGTACGGCTGAGAGTGGGGAGAGTCCGCTCTTCCTCTCGAAATGCTCTCACATGAACACTCGTATATAGCCTCTACCAGGGAAGTCCTACTCACTGCCTTCTCACATCACGGGTGTTGTTTACGAAAATGAGAGGACGAAAATCGAATGTCCGGCACCGGCTTTAACCGGATCCCAAACCAATGGTGCACATGGACCGGCTCCAGGATCCTGAAGGAACAAATGGCGTATGAACCAATCGTTGGTCACCGGCTACCATAGGACTGCATCTCCTTAAGACGCTCCACTGTCTTGTAGATCAGATCTTCAGGTCGAAGTCTCGGGGTGTGGTTCCCTAAGAAAACCACCTGCTTCGGTTTGGGCACTCGAGCAGTATCACAGCCCTCACACAAATCAAATGAGATTTGTGTGTCGCATATGCATTCGGTGCCTCATTGTACCAATATCTATGTGTTAAACTAAATAATAAATAAATAATTCTCTCTCTTTGCGATGATAACAATGATTGAATCCATTCTCTTATTAGAACAAGTTACGTAGTCATTTACTTTGAACTACCTTGAATTTTACTTATCACTAATAAATGAAACTTTTGTTTTTTAAAAAAAAAAAAATAAATAAAATAAAATTACCAACTATTTATGATTAAGTCATTTCACAATTACCTTTTTTATAGCTTCTTCACTTTCAATTGACATTTGAATTAATTTTTCATATTGTAAATCATGTAATTTATTGATTTGTATTTTTAAAATTTGAAATCGTCCAATTAACTTGTCACGTTCTTTTTTTAAATAATAATTTTTTTCTTCATATTCTTTAGATATTTTTAATATATGACGTTTAATAATTGATATATTCTCATTAATTTTTTGTATTTTATTTAAATGTAATTGAATTTCAGCTGTTGAACGTTGATCTTTTGTTTTTAAATTTTCAAAAAATATTTTTTTTTCATTTGTTGTTGTTGTATATTGATTAGATGTTTGTTTGAATTCAGACCATAAACTATTGACTTTATTTTCTAAATTTATTCTTAATGTATGTTTTTCTTCTAAACTCTATATATGAAAATATATATATATATATATATATATATATATATATATATATATATATATATATATTTATGAATCATTGTTTACTACGTAGAATAAATTTAAGTAATATAACTTAAAACAATTAGTCCTTTTTATCAATTTCAATGATGCCATTGATGATGATGATGTTCAGTTGCTAAACAAAACATGAATAGAAAATGGTTACCCTCTGAAATTCATAAATAGATGGAAAGTTCATGGTACAGTGAGACCTATTGTAGCCTCGGTAGAAAAAAAAAGCCTGTTTACATCACTTTACCATTCAGAGGTGATTCAAATAGCCTATTATTGAAACAAAGTCTTATATCAGTCATCAACAAAACGTATTGCGCAGCTAATGTCATTGTCAAAGAAAAAACAAGGTGCATGTTTTATTCAAAACCTAAAAGATATGAAAACGATTGTGTCACATCCTACTGTGTTTACCAATTTAAATATGTGTGTGGTCACAAATACATAGGGAGTAGGAATCATGATCTCAAAATTAAGGTGTGTGAACATGTACCAAAATGGTTGCAGAAACAAATAGAATCAAGTGATCCAATAAGAGTAGAGGATAAACATCCTTCATCTTCTATTGCTAAACATATAATTGAAACAGGGCATAAGATTGATCTAAACTCGACTTTTGTGGTATTATATAAAAGTGTAAAAGGGCGTATACTAAGGTTTATTGAAGCCTTAGACATACGAAAATCCAAACCCACTTTGTGTATTCAAAAACAGTTTGTTCTTACCTTAAACCTACCCTGGTAATATTGACTTATTATCCAGAGTGATTAGGTTTTGCATAGTGTTCAGATTATTATTATTATTATTATTATTATTATTATTATTATTATCCTTGTCCGCTCTAACCATCTATTTTCAGTCTAGTTGACCTTTTACTTTTATATATAAATGTTCTTAACAAGTATATGTGTGATCAGATTGTTCGAAATGTATTGCGCTAATATATCACATAGTTCTGATAATCTTCGTCTTCTTATAACATAACTTACGTAATACAAGTTTAATCAAGTTTGTGAATGATAGTGAATTAGAAAAGAGATAAAAATACATTAGAAGATTTATATTAAAATTTACACAAATTAGCATTACAGGGTTTGAAATCAACCGTATTGGCAGTAAAGTGATACCTTGACAGTAAAATTAATTGGGCATAACACTGTCAAAATTCACAGAAGTTGAATATCTAAATTAATGAATTCTAATTCAGGTGTATGAATAACATTCTCTTCGTGAAGCCGGAAGGTTCTAAAATCGATTCCATGTAGTACCATTTGGTTCACGTTAATTGAGAGTTTTAAGTTACGAGAAATATCTCTTTATTTACCTATTAGTTCTTAATACAACTATGACTGATATTAGCTCATGATAAATATTATACTCAAATAAAAAAATTAATGAACGCTCTAGGTTTAAAAGCCAAATGATGAATATATTAGTAGAAATTATGTATGTGCATAAAACTAAAATTTAAGGGCGGAGACGTAATAAATTAGGATCTGGAGTCTATTTTTGGCAATACAACTAACAGTCTCCAATGTTTAATTTTTACGTCAGAATGAAAATAAACCTTCACTTTCATGCTTAATTCACATCAACAGTTAGTGACCTGGTGGCCTCCCATTTTGCATTAATTAATCTTCACTTGTTTAGCCTAATGTAGATCTCTTCAGTCTAGCCTGGGATACGATGACAGACAGTATCACATCTCTTAATCAATTTAATGATCACCGTTGCATATGATTTCATCAGCCGATTCATATTTAGCTGAAACTTTCTGATCAACCTTATCACTACTCACTTTATGATTCCACTACAAACGGGAAGTATTATCCTTGTAATCGCTTTACTTAGTTATTGCTGTAATATGGTCCATACTTCATCAACTACAGTTACTTAATTATAATTAATGTTACAGAGCTCTGTAAAAGTAATGTCCTAGTTATGCATGAATAAAGATTTTTAAAAGCTGAATGTTATACTTTGGTATTGTACTTATACAACTAGAATTCTGAATGGTAAAGATAAATGTTATCACTCATCTAACCTTCTGTTGTTTGATTTTAAGCCTGAGAGTAAGGGTATTTTTAAAACTGATCAAAACATACATTGTCAGAAGAGGTTTTGTGGAGATTGTATTAATTTCAATGATTAAGATCATGAGTCCCATAATAGGACGAAACGGTCGTCCAGTGCTTCCAGGTTTTCCATGATGGTCTAGCTTCAACTGACTCATGATCTTAATCATTGAAATCAAAACATACATTACCTAAAACTGAATATCAGTTTCATTCACATATAACCATACTACTTAACTTTATTAGGATGAAATATTGTAAATTCTAACTCAAGTCAATAATATTTTTACTTGAATGTTTTAATAACATAAATAATATCAAAAGTTCTAAATTGAAAATTAATAAAATTTATAGAACTATCAATTGACTTACTTTATTTTTTAGATCATCTTTTAAACTAGTCTGATCAATGACAGCTTCATGTGTTTTAGCAGTATATGTAGAATCCAATGCAACAAATATATCTTTTAAATCATTCACTTGTTTATCGTGTTGTTGTTTAGTCAAGTTTTCTTCTAATTTTCAGAACAGTTTTAAATAGAGCATATATATTAATATAGATAGATACAATTTACCTTTGATGAATTCTTCTATCAAAGAATGTAATTCCTTTTCATAATTAATTTTTAATTGATGTAATCTTTGATTTTGTAAATCTAATTTTTTTTTTTATAAGAAAAATGAAATGAGAAAACAAATTATATTGAACAAAAAAAAAAAAAAAAGAACAAAAATTAAGTACCAATAGAATAGTTACGTAATGATGATGATCAATTTATCTTATATTGATTGAAAAAAAAACATGTTCAATTTCACCTTTTACAAAATTGATCCAGTTATTAGTATTTTCTTAACTATTAATGATTCAATGAAAAGGATTTAATTGAGATCATGAATCGACTGATGTTAGACCACCATTGGAAACCTGGAAGCACTGGACGGCCGTTTCGTCCTAGTACGGGACTCCTCAGCAGTGCGCATCCACGAACCCGCTCGCGGGATTCGAACCCAGGGCCTTCAGTCTCGCGCGCGAACGCTTAACCTACTCGACCACTGAGCCAGCATCCAATGGTGAATCCCGCGAGCGGGATCGTGGATGCGCACTGCTGAGGAGTCCCATACTAGGACGAAACGGCCGTCCAGTGCTTCCAGGTTTCCAACGGTGGTCTAACATCAATCGGTTCATGATCTCAATCAAAAACTTAATAATCTCCACAACCCCAATACTGATAATTAACATGTGCTCACTAGTGACTAGCTTCGTGAGGGAATTCTCGGAGTTCTAGTGAGAAGCCGTGACCAGTGGAGCTAATCCGTGTCGGGTAGAGACAGGTATCTACCTCAGTACAATGGAAGATGGTCGCGCAATTTCGTGGATTGGTTGATGTTAGACACTAACACCATTGGATGCTGGCTCAGTGGTCGAGTAGGTTAAGCGTTCGCGCGCGAGACTGAAGGCCCTGGGTTCGAATCCCGCGAGCGGGATCGTGGATGCGCACTGCTGAGGAGTCCCATACTAGGACGAAACGGCCGTCCAGTGCTTCCAGGTTTCCAACGGTGGTCTAACATCAGTCGATTCATGATCTCAATCAAAAGCTTAATAATCTCCACAACCCCAATACTGATGAAAAGGATTTAATTGAATGACTGATCTTGCAAAAGGAATTAATATAGATTCATTATAAGAGTATATGTTAGTGTATTTTATAAAATAAATATTGGATAATGTTGTAACTATTCAGAATGTATTTACATTTTATGCTGAAGAAGAAAATAATGCTAACATTATATGTTCTCTAACTTTACTAATTTCTACTAATGAACAATGTCACGAAATCATTCCAACCTATTGTAAAGCCTTTCACATGAGTATATTGTTGTGGTGATTGAAATGATCAATTGTGATGAAAGTTTCCTATATGCTTTGACCTAATATTATAATATTCGAGAAAACTTTAACAAAAGTAATATATACCTTTGATAAATCTTTAAATGGTACTTAATTACTGACTTACGCCTTCTACCCCTTATGGAGGAGCATAGGCTACTCTCAAGCATTCACCATCTAACTCTGTTCCGGGCATTCCTTTCCGATTCTTTTTAGTTGTTATTTATCCTTTTCATATCTGCTTCCAATTTTCGACGCAGTGTACTTTTTGGTCTTCCTCTTTTTCGTTTTTCTTCAGGATTCCAAATTAGCGCTTGCCTCGTGATGCACTTTGATGATTTTCTCAAATATGTGTCCTATCCACTTCCGACGTCTTTTTCTAATTTGTTTCTCAGATAGAAGTTGGTTTGTTCTCTCCCATAGTAGGCTGTTGCTGATGGCATCCGGCCAAAGGACATTCAGAATCTTACGTAGACAAATGTTTATAAATACTTGCACCTTTTTGATGATGGTTATGATAATTCTCCAAGTTTCAGCTCCGTACAGTAGATCTATCTTGACGTTCGTATTGAAGATTGTGATTTTGATATTGATTGATAGTTGTCTTGAGTTCCATATGTTCTTCAACTGCATGAATGCGGTTCTTGCTTTGCCAATCCTCTCCTTTACGTCTGCATCAGTTCTTCCACGTTCATTGATGATACTATCCAGGTACGTGAAAGTTTCCACCTCTTCCAGAGTTTCTCCATCAAGTGCGATTGGGTTGGTATTCTCCGGATTATATTTGAGGATCTTGTTCTTTCCCTTGTGTATGTTGAGGCCTACTGATGCAGAGGCTGCTGCGACATTAGTTGTCTTTATCTGCATTTGTTGATGTGTATGGGATAGAAGGGCCAGGTCATCTGCGAAGTCCAAATCGTCTAATTGATTCCGAGCTGTTCATTATATTCCGTGCTTCCTCTCAGACGTCGAAGTCTTCATAATTCAGTCGACTACCCAAAGAAAGAGAAGGAGGAGAGTAGACAGTCTTGTCTTACTCCGGGCCTTACTTGGAAAGCATCTGTCAGCTGTCTTCCATGCACGACTTTGCACTGTAATCCACCGTACGAGTTCTAGATGATGTTGGCGTTTTTCTTTAAATGATAGTAAATGATAATATAACTTATCGATTTAAAGAGGCGAACACTACCTTACGGCCGAGAAACACAACTAGGGATGGAAGTTGGTAGTATATCTGTGTTCCACAATCTTACAAATAGTGAATATTTTGTCTCCACATCCATGTCCAGTTCTAAAACCAACGTGATTGAATCAAGTTCGCTTTTTACGATCCTGGTTAAGCGTTAGAAAATTACAGTGTTTTAGACACCATATTAGTCGACCTGATATCTTGGTGGCTGCCATAAGAGGATTTTCGTCTTTTGTGTAAGACTGGAACTATCAGTAATCGAGACCACTTAGCGAATACGACCTTTGTCTAATCAATTCACTTATATTCATAAAATGCCTTTGAGTTCGTATTTCTTTAGAAGTACTTTCAACCTATGTTAAACACAGAGGGTATTAATGTAAGGTTGACATTTATTTGGAAATTGCTAATTTCTAGATAGTGGATTATAATATTACTAAACATAGAAATGAAAAGAATCCAGTGAGTGTCTTGCTGAGGATTTATTTTATGTTTAAACAAAAAATACTTTTTATTTGAATAAAAATTTTCCACTCAGTGTTTTTACCTGAACTATGACCATCATTGGTTTTTTCATTTTTGTTATTAGTTTATGAATTCCCCTCTACGATTCCTTCACAAAACTTCCATTTAATTTTGTTATACAAACAAGGTGTTTTTCAGTTTCAGTCACCAACTGTGCATGATTAGAAATTTTCATTACTAAAGACCGTATTTTTTAGTGCCTACCTTGTAGTTTGTTTGTAGCTTGTATGATATCAAAAGCGTCTGAAAACTCACTGATAACCAGTAAAAGTTCGAATGATTACAAATGAACGTCAACCAAACGGTGATCATTAATTGCAATAGTATAACCAACAAACCAATAATACGTTACAGTTTAGCGTAATACCCCTTTGTTTGCCTGCATAGAAATATAGTATTCTTGGACATAAATATCTTTTTAACGATGACAACCAGTGTGCAAAGCTGATTTTATAGCTTAATTCTTCATCCATACCACAAATAGTATAGTGATAACTGACTATTATGAGCGAAATGGATGTTTAAGTGATTGATGATAATGATATACTCATGATAATGTTAAAAATCACTGATGAGCAACAATGTCTTCAGCTACTTGTTAGATAATCCAGATAGTATTGGTCAATTTGACCTAAAAACACTGATAAAATGAATAATTTCACACCATTTTGAGCTATTGAAACTTATTAATGAACGATGAATAGAGGGATTTTAACTGATAAATATATCACAGTGTGACAGTGATCGTGAATATGATTTAATGCAACTATATTGCAATATTGATATCCCATTGAATAATCAATTGTTACATGTATGGCTATTACGCACAGAAATCCTGTTAAAAAGTTGACTGATTGAACTATATTGCATGGTTACATCTTACGTAAATAAAAAAATCCTCGAATATTTATTCAAAAGTTCATTATGATTTCCTTTACTAATCTGCTTAATAAAATTCTAAGGAATACAATCCTCACAACAGAGTAATCAGTAGAATTAATGTATAATATACTAGCGTGTTCCATAAGTAGTAAGGCACTGCATTATAAATTAACAAACGTTTCTTGATAGCAGGTTAAATTGATTTAAATGCCACAAATATGTTCTTTTTACTTTTCATTTATACGTGAAATTATTATTATTGCAACCTGCAAAGTCTTATCACCACAAGTCAAATATTTTCAAACAGTATTCATATATTTAAACTAAGACTATCTAATTGACCGGTGAAAGTAACAAATTTATGGGCAAAAAAAACTGTTGGTGTGTGATATACAGGTCATGATGAAATAGTCAAACAGTATAAATTCTTTAGGTCAAACGAAAAAACTGCTATATACCTATTAAAATATCTACATTCTGTAAATGAGCACGCAAAGCCATCAAATGCTGTTCATCTGCCTCACTAAGATCCGCAACAAGTGTTTTGATGATACTTTCTTTTCTTTGAAAAATATTGAACAAACAAATTGATAAAAAATTTAAGACATTGACGCTTTACCGGTCCATAATTCTTTCAAATGTTTGTGACAATATTTCTATAGTTCTTTTTAATTCTTTTGACTTCGTCTCTCTCATAATAGTTCGCCAATAATGCGTCAGTTTTGCTTGATTAAGTTTAGTAAATTGTTCTTCATGTTTAAGTTTATCCTATATTAACAGTCGTTATTTTTTAAATTAAAGGGCAATATATTAAAAACTGACTTGTAGATATTGAGTTAACAGTGCCATCTTTTTTGTTTTTAGTTCTTCTTCAGCAACTCTTTGTTGTTCAAGGAAAATTGCTCTTTCTTCATCAGTCATTTTTGTTAGTTTCCCGGTTTTCTTTTTTCTTTTCGGTGCCATTTTTGTCTGTTTTTCTATTGATTCTTAGTCAGTAGGAGAATACAGAACTTGTATTTTGTACTAAAATATGCAATATATCGGATGAATGAAGCACAGATTATAGCATAAAAAGCAATAAAACATACGGATTGTAACGACATCAATATCTCAAATATGTACTATAAATTAACGGAGACGTAGAAATAATATTTACTGTAAACATGCTGATTAGATTGTCAAAAATATGAATTAATTGACAAAAAATGAAAAAGTTACTGATCAATACTTAATTCAAACAAAATAGGCTTTCTAAAGATCTAACATGCTGACTAAATTAAGTCGGTAAACCGATTGTATACTACATATATTGATAAGCAACATAAATGTAATTACTTTAGTGGAATTCATTGGGCTGCTGATACGGGATTTAGACCGTATTATTCAATATCGAGATATATGAATTACGCTTATCAAGCAAAGAAAAACTCCGTAATTTGATGCTACCGATGTTACCCATCATAGTAATCAATGATAAGTGCCAATATTTCGTCTGACTGATTGAAGCTTTCCACTGAACTAATTCTATGTTGCCCAACATTGTGCAAAACGGTAGATGGCGGTTTGTTGTGTTTAACAAGTGGTTGAAGGACTCAATCAGATGAAAGTTAGCCAGGATTTTAAGATATGAGAAAGGGTCGATAATGCAGACATAATGTAATATACAGTTTGAAAATACTAAGAGACTTATAAAAGAAAGTATCCTCTTTGTTCTGCATTTACAACAAGAAGTTTCCAAGGATTACTTTTTAGCATAAGGTCTAGTCTGCTTTCACACCTTTCAGTATGTATATCAATGTTTGATTTTCGTTTTCATTTTCGGAGTTGTCGATTATTTTGTAAACGGTATTGTGTTTACTTCATTTTGGTTTAACTGGGTATTAACTGGATTCTAATGTGATAAAATTAGGCCGACTTTAACTGTGTTTTGTTTAGTTAGCATACTGATCTTCTAGATCAGTTTGAAAAAGTGCTTTCTAAAATTATCATGACTAAAACTGCAAGTATTTTTAATGGTTTCACAGACATAAACTAGTAATATGGAAATAATAGTGCTCAAGCTAACTTTTTAATTAAATAGTGTGTAGTCTGACCCGAAGATAACTAGCTTTCAAATAAAAATTCTGTCCTTACCTGATTTAGTTTTGAGTTTATTTATTAATAATCTAGTTTTCTGCGTACGTGTTAATCATGAGTAAAATCTTATTATAGGGTAGACAAGCAAATGTAAAATAAACTGACCTTTAAATCATCCATGCAGAGAAGCAAGATAGTTAAATTGCTAAATGTGTGTTTCGCCTAAACATCTATCCGAATGCTGTCTAAAGAGACGATGGGAGCTTTTCAGCTAAAACCATCCAGTTTAGAAAATAAAATTCCATCGAAATCATCCATTTGAACCATAGTCCTACGCTACGAGTTATTTAGTTTGATTTAGTTATTTATTTTTATAACTGTTGCCGAAGTTTTATATTTAAATACACAACCACGTTCAGGATTTTTCATACAAACAGATGAATCTAATCAACCCAACTAAATACATAACCAAAGTTTGCAAATGAGAAAAAATTTCTAATCACTTTGGTATATTGTCCCAAATAAATTATGATTTATTAATATCAAGTATGCAGGCACCTTTTTAACAGCCAGCAGAAAAAACAATAGATTTTATTAAGTTGGAACTGTCTAGTAACTTTTTGTCGTATATTTATGTTCTCTACTTAGAGCCACAGTTAGTAAGGCCAGGTGACTTCATATATAAAGTCATTATTTTGGTTCTGTGTAGCTATAGGTGATTGGTAGATAGATTTTTGTTTAATTTATAAATTATTTAGTACTACTCATAAACTTTTATGAACTAAGTGTGCGGCTTTATAGACAAGTTAGATACTAATTTTAGCTAAATATCTGCACCTGGCGAAATCCCTGCTCAAATGGTTATTGAACTGTTTTTATTTTTTCGACAGAAAATGAGTACACGTTGACGTTTTGGAGAGGTCAACCTGGCCCAAACTTTATTTGGTTTGTGTACTTACCTTTACAGAGTGAAATATTGTAAAACTGTGTGGTTTCTTGAAATATACAATCATATATGATTGTAGATTATTATCAACCATATATATGGTTGATCGTGAAAAGAACCATACAAACAGTTATCTGGTCATCTACATATTCTGAGGTATTATTGTTAAAGTTGGCTGACGATAATAACAAAACGCAAAAAAGAAGCAGCCAACGTTGACTGTACATGTCAACGAAAAGGTAGTCCTAGATGTTGTATTTCAGAGATTAACAACCAGGTCGACCAAATGCATTCATATCCTAATAAATTTTCGGCGAGTTATCTTAAACACATTTCTCCATTTCTGGATAAACAAATAACTTCTGTTATATTATCACTTCACAAACTAATATATTTGTAAAAACTATGGTCTTTACAAACTTATAAGTTTCCTGGTAAAAACAGTTCAGAAATCTTTTTGTCACGCCAATCATCAGCTTTTCATTTATCATGTATGACTAGTTCTCAAATTCTTTTAACTTAGTGATGGTCGTATACCCTGTCATAATTAATCAGAGAAATAAAGCATTGTGGATAATATTCACCCTTTCAAACAAATTGAACACGCAAACGTGGATTACTTATATGGCATCAAATGTCAAAATAACGACAGACTTTTTGAGTTTCTGAGTCTTGTGAGCAGAAATTATATGTAAACTAGTATTTTAAAAATGCAAACACCTTGTGCTATGTATCTAAGACTTTTAAGGTAGATAAACAAAAGCTAATCCATTATCCAATATCTATGTTCTGAGATTTTAAAAGCTAGTTGCTTTGTTTGCGTTCATTTTCTGTTATTTTGATACGGTTACAGATATCTGATTAATTTACCTAGTAGGCGATAATCCAGCCACTCCACTGGATTAATTCTATTCAGTGTGGTAGTTATTATAGGATTATTATATTTTGTAGTTGAGTCAGTACGTTTGCCTCAGAGCATCAAGGTTTCTAAATGTCAACGGATATCAAACTATCAGACAGGAAGTTGGCTGGTTGCAATGTGAAAACTATGTGAGAATTCAAGTGCTAAGGGAAGATAATTATAATTAAGGATAGATATTTAATTTGCCTAACTGATAATTTGTCAGAGGACGAAACTAAAAAAATTAAACGAAAACGAAGATAGTAAGAGAAATAAAAAGTAGTTACTAATATGTTGTAATGATAACCATGGGAATTTTTGTGATATGTATCAGACACAGCTCTTCTAAGCGTGGGATGGTAATCCATGGGTGATTACGTGTTTGTCAAGACTCCACCTTGGCTGAGAGACTGTTTCAAATGCTAGCATTCATAACGGGAGAAAGTAAGGGCATATCTAGGTGTTATTTATTTGCCTCGCGGAGATTAGTAATGATCTGTTAGTATGTTCGTTTTGGGTCGATTTGGCGTACTTAATGTGTTATGTGTCATTATCAGATCATCTCAGAGAGAATAATCTCAGGTGCTGTAGTCTGTCCTTGTAAAATCTGTGTTTTAGCCTTATCAACTACTTGGTTACTCATCTCTGTACTTGGTCTAGGAAATTTCTATCGCTTTTGAAAAGAGGAGGCATAAGGACATTGTAAACCTTAAGAAAAAGCAGAAAGTACGTTTTAAACGGCGTTAGAAAACTCTGTAGTTGTCTGCATGTAGAGTAGGGAAGTGTGTTTACCATAGTGTTTGAATTGGTGTCTAGGCTTTCTTTTGCTACAAGCTCGGTGTCACGCTCTTGAGAGTCAATCAAGAGCGGCCTTCCATTGAGAGTTTAGGTTTTTGTGTTGACTGAGGCAGAATGTTCACGACATGATATTTCGATAGGCTAGATTTAAATATATTGCGTACTCTCCATGCTTATACTTTATATACAACTTCAATTTGTACATAGATCGTAAATTGGCGTTACTCTCATTTCAACTTTGACCGGTTAGAGACTGTTGCACAACCTAGTGGTCAACGGCGAAAACGCACTATGTGTGCATTATTTCCTCATTCTCTGTTTTGTGGCCTACTGACTGCTTTTCACGACTTATCGTGGTTGATTTGACATGAAACAAGGAGATAAATAAAACTAACAGCTTCATCCATCTATTCTTTACATACTAGCTGGTCATGACAAGACTTAACTTTTTCCAAATCCAAAACAAGTAAAGGATGGTAATCTAAGTAATCTAAGAGAAAATAATGAGAATTGATAGACAGATAAGTTTCAATACAGTTATAAGTAGATAAATCTAAGAACACTAAACCGAACGCCTGATGAAATGGTAGCTCCTCGAGTGTGCTATTTCTAGGATCTTCTTCGATGCTTGATCGAATACATTCATTCAGTATTATCCATCAAACCGGACAAGGTAAAACTCAGTTTTTAGATAATAAATAGTTATTTTAGGGAGCTACTTACCACTACACAAGAAAATATGGCTTATTTCAGTTGTCAAACAAGTTATTACAAGGTCATTCATTGACGCGCTCCCATTAAACGCTTACATTTATGAAACAACTTAGCGTTCTGAAAATATTGGTATCTGTTTAATCTCTATAGATAGATCATTATTCAGACTTTTGTGTAATTTATTTGTGGAAGATAACCGTCAACGTTTGCTAGATTGTTTGAATAGTGGTTACAAACTTCACAACCTTTTATTTGTTTTATTCTCATCAATGAAAAGATAAATTTACGGGTAAAGTGATAACCGAATTGCAGTGTTATACATTCTCTGATGATGATTGAGTAATTTAATCAATACTGTAGTATTTAGATGAACAAATGAACGCGCTGAACACTTGGTTTTCTTTGAAACAAACGAAAAAATGATGAATAACTCAGCCTCATCACTGAAATGAAATGTCCTAATGTCTTGTGAGCTGCTAAGTGCTTTATTTTCTTACCCTGAAAATTTTACAATTTTATGGTCTTTCATATCCTTTGATTTGCTATTAGTCCTTACCATCTTTAAACCACATATAATCTAACCTGTTTTTTACTTTTAACATAAGTTATCTTCATAGCAGTGTGATATATTAAATGAATGTCTAATCCATGATACAAATGCTTTAACCACCCGATTTGTTTGTAATATGAAACTAGTAGAGACAGTGAATTCCAACTATGAGCTTTGATTAAAGCAGTATGCATACTTACCACAAACGTGAGAGAGCCTAACATCATGGAAGAACGGAAGGTGGCGTTACTGACCAGCAAACATGGTGGTGGGGAGACAACTTCAATCCACCCATGGCTGTTGGGCAGAACATATTGTTTTATTGCGGCTCCTTATGGTCTAGTGGCATGGTATTGATGCTGATTTATCATGCAAAATACCTCATTAAATCATGTTCAGAACGTTGAGTTGGCTTTACTCCCCACTGAGAAATCCTATTAAAAGCAAACTAAACAATTAGCTTAAAACGAAGCCTACACAAAACCCTATAAAATGTAAAAAAATCGTTCAAGTAGCTTTGACATAAAAAGGAAGATGGCCATTTGTGTATCAGAATACTGATCTGCTTCTCGTGCTTTCTTTTTCTTGCATTCTTTTTCAGTCCCCTTGAGATATACGCTGAAAACAGACATGAAACAGGTGATTTCGTCCTGTACCGTCACTAAAGCCTCAGATATTCCAGCGGGATATAAGGTTGAGACTTCTGGAAGCCCTCAACTTCAGTGGATCTATTCTCGACCATCAGTTGCATGTAGCAACGCAAACATCATAAAGCGTGCGAACTATGATACTGAATTAAATCATCCAAATTCATATCTTACAAAATATCAACACAGCTGAGTAATTTACCTCAGTGAAAATTGTAACATTTGTAACAATTTAATCTTGCGTGTAAACTGACATCATCCATCAATATTGTATTAACCCGCGAACTGCTTTTCAATCTTATAGTAATAGTCTTCTAAAGATTAAAAGCACCTCTGTGTTCCAACTAAATAAAATTCAGGATCGGGAAAGAAACTGTTAGTTCAACTACACTATTATCATGATGAGGCCATTCTGTAGAGTTTAGCAAAATAATTGATGCTGAAACATTGTTGTCGGTAAACAAGAAATTACTACAATAACTTCAACCGTTTGTCATCCCAAAGGCGAAACATTGGCACATTGATATCAAACGACAGTCACAGCACCTAGAATTAGTGTTATCACAGAAAGACCAAATCAGAATAAAGTCTGCAACTGCATATTGCTAGTGAATAAGTGCTTTGATTCTGTTCACATAAACATGATTTCACAATACGAATTTGCTCAACTACGGTGAAATTTTGGGTGTCAAAATAACAGATTTCAGCCTGAAAATTTGGAAGTATTTCGACTCTTGCATTTTTGAAAACAGTCACTCGATATTGGAAATTTCATTGATGTATATCGGGTTCCCTGAGCTTCGTATTTGCCTTTTGGTTGTGGATATAACTGTCCTCATTCCTGGTCTATTGCCATGATATATACTATATCTAAGTGTTAAACTACTTAAGTTTTCAATGATGATATTATAGAAACAGCGATACGGCAGCTCAAAGTCTCCTAACTCAACTAGCATTTTGATATTAGAAAAATTTTGAAAGAGGTTATATTTTACGGTTAATTCTCCAAACCTATGGGTGTTGAGGATGAGTTACTTTGTAGTGGAATCGTTAAATGATCAGACATTGTTTCCCAATAAGAAAAGAATATATTGTTAGCACTATTGGGACAAGTGTGTAGCAGTAAATAAATTTCACATATAAACAGTTTTATAGGTCTTCGACATTGATTCTGACCTTGGAACAATTGCTTAGTATCACTGTTATTTCACAACCTGTCGTTACGATCGATCAAGCAATAAAAAGAGGTGTAGCTACGTTTGTAAACGTGAACTAATATCGATCTACTTCTGCGTGTTTCGAGTTTTCAAATGACTTTATCGACTGTCTAACCTTGAGAAGTTTATGTTACCAACATCTACGTCACTCCATACTGCAGATATGTGCGCTGATGAATTCATCGAATTCACTGTTACTGCCTTCAGTGTTTCACTTCCATTTGTGTGTGGTGATTTCAATTCACGTGACTGTAGCCTCCTTACACTTCTAGGTCACTAAAATGTAGTAGATTTTCCTACTCGTTTGGATAGTCATTTAGACTTTGTTCTCATTAATGATGTGTGCATATATGTGATTCGTAAACGTGCTCCATGTCTAGCTCGGATCACTGTATAATTCGTGTTCTACCAAAATTATGTGGAAAGCGAGGAAAGAGTACACTCTTACGTCAAACCAACAAAGTCAAATGTAGAATTACCCAGAAGAAAATATCCAAAATCTGAAAAACATGTTTCGCAAGACCAACTGGGAATTATTTACAAATGACTCCCTAAAACACTACTGATGTTATCACTTATTACCTCACATTCCGTTTTGATATTTGTTGTCTCACTGAGACCATTTTAGTAAGTTTCGATCGACTTACACATTCACAACTAAAACGACTACGGAGGGTAAAAGAAAGAATGTACGAGGAGAAAAACTCTATTGAAGTTCGTAAGCTAAATGGTCTAATAAACCCAGAGGCTAGACGTCTGAACTCTATGTTTACTCGAAAACTTCTGTCTTGTGAAAACTCCTTAAGTATTTGGAAACTCTTTAAAGAACTTGCAGGTGAAGGAACGTTTAAAACAATAACCAGCTGAATGTTTGTGACTTAACTACGTCTTTCGACGTCGGTCATCTGATGTTATGCTCACTACATCCTTAGGTTTGAAGAATAGTTGTGTTCCTAGTTTCACTGAAAGTGATGTCTGAAGATTTCCCCATTCACTTAATTCATCCCGATGTTTTGGACCTGATGGTATCCCAAACCTCCTTTTAAAAAGTTTGCTGACGTTCTATGTTGTCTATTCGCGAGTATCTTTAACAGATCCTTCTCATCTAATCTTATTACAAAAATGTGGGGAAAGATAAAGATAATCCCTATAGCTAAAAAAGTATCTGGTGATAAGAATATGACATTTAGACCCATAGCAATAACTTCACCTTTCCTCAAAAACCTGTATATACGTGGTAAATAAGTTATATTATTCCCCAAGCAAATGCAGTAAGGAAAACTCATAACTGAGTATATAAACCCATACTCGACAAATTATTCGCATCAAATAATATAAAAAAAATTAGAACTCATTAAACTGTATTGATTCTCTCATCAGGTACTTATTAAGTAAAAGGTTTCTAAATATTTCCTCAAATTCATTGAAAAAGAAGCATATAGCTCATTGAAAACTCTGCCTTTACTAGAAAATTCTATTTTATTTCCTTATGCAACTCCCAAGGAATTACTGCTAGACCATGTTAAGTGTACAAGTTCCGATAGCGGTAAAGGAGGAAAGTTTCTTAAAATGATTCATCAGGACATCGGAAATCTCACTGCATTGCTACGTCATCCAAATCCAGAGCATACTCAGGGTTATGCAGATAATTCATTGATGAGCTGTGATGCAAGTCACGAAGATGGGCACAAGTTTCGTCAATGTTTGTCCTGTATCAGGTTTCACTCAATTAATTCATGTATATCTCGTAATAAATGATATATGTTTGAAATGTCGTGATATAGCCGAGAGTCAACTCTCTCCTTCTCCAAATGCTCTCACATGGCGACGCGTATACAGTCACTGACAGGGAACAAATACTCATTGCCTTATCGTGTCAGAGTTATTGTTTATAAAATTGAGAGGACGGAAAGCAAATTTCCGGCACTAACAGGGTTGATGAACACCGAGAGTTCATCTAAGAAAGTTGGAAAACCCTGATTACAAATCAATGATGCACGTGGACTCGTCTCCTGAGGGAAAAATGGCGTATGAACCAATCGTTGGTCACTGGCTACCATCGGACTGCATCTCCATACGATACCCCACTGCCTTGTGGATCATACCTCCAGGTCGAAGGCTCCGAGCGTGGCTCACTAAGAAAACCACATGCTTCGGTTTGGGCACCTGTGGAGTATCATAGCTCACACACAACTCAAGTGAGCTGAGTGGTGCATATGTATTCGGCTTTTCTACCACCTAACGACTTAAATAAGGCTGTTAAAGAATGCAAAGTGCCAAATTAATAACACCAAATCAAATGACAAACGAAAGCTCGTAGAAATCCAATGTACTACTCATTTGAATATGAAATCTGTATTTCTGTTCATAGCTTGAAGATCACAATGATCAGTATGGTGTTTTATTCGTGAGAGTCAACAACAAATAAAAGAAAATCAACTTGCATATGAATTGATACTATTACATTATGACAGTCAGATATGTGAAGTAATGGGTCAAATAATATTTTGAAAATCAAAAGTTATTTTTCATTGCCAATTTTTTTTAGTACTACTAAAGTATTACTTAGTAACTATCCATTTTCTCCATCTCCTCAGTTGTTTGACGTTGTTTGGCTGTTGGTCGTTTAAACTCTTCAATTATTAAATCATTTGCTTCTTCAGCTTTGGTAATCTCCTGTTGTTGACGTGAATGACATAATATAATTGGTATTTCCATTTCCACATCTCGTCCACCAAAACCAGTCACAGCTTTAATTCTTATCTAATTATTCATATGTGATTAATCAGAATAAAAATATATATAAAAGTTATATGGAATAGAAATATGTAGTATATAAAAGGCTTTCACTGAAGATCAAGTTTATCTATGAGAGTAATGGTTAGATTTCAGGAACTTAATTTTACCACACATTAATCAGTTATAATATCGAATAGATTTGATGAAGTAGCAACTTCATCGATTGAGATGGTTGGACAACGTGTTACGCGTGCCTGGACATCGATTACCACGACGTGCAATTCTGACCAGTGTTGGGGATGGCTGAAAAATGTTAGCGGCGGCTAACTGAAAACGTGGCATCAGTGCTTGAAGTCACTAACCTCTAGTCTGAGCCATGTTGGTAGTGCAGACTACTTGGTTGTGATCCGCGTGACTATCCTAACCAATGATTGAAGACTGTGTGTGACATGGCTCAGAATGGATCACAATTGCGTAGGTGTATACACTCTTTGTCTTCCCTTAAACTATGAGATTAAAATCGCTTCATATCTTTCTTCCTATCATCAAGTAAATCTTTCTTCTCTGTATTATATACTTATATGAAATCTTTCTTTTATATATTACCATCATTGAGCCAACTGCTTCCATTACCCGATGTTTGCCTTGTTATGCTAATGAGGTGTGACAACTTGGACGGAGATGCATATATGTGCCTCACTGGTTTCAAATGATGCGAATGCATAATAAATAAAACCTGGTATGAAGAAACGGTGAGACTATAATTTATGGATGCTCATTGAGCCACACTAGACTGACCTTGAAAGTGTCCACCTAATAACTAGGACCAAACGAGGGTTATAAATTAGTATGAGGAATCCGCATTATGATTTACAGTTGATGGTTAAGGTTGGGAATTGGATTTAGCACTTTTACCACAAACTGTCATCAGCTATAATGCCAAGACTTTATTTAGCCAAATGGATGTGTGGATTTCGCGCCGAAATCCGAGACCTTTTATCCTATACATGACTGGTTTGCGCATAAATTATAGTCTAGCCAAAGAAACAAATAATCAATAACATACCATATATTGAACAATAATTCCCATATTTTCCTTCTTTCTATAATCTTTTATTAAGGTAGAACTGGCAAGATTTGTGTCTTGATGTTTCAGTTTACCATCTAAAGCAATAACCGCTTGTCCTCTTATCTCTTGTAATGATGGTCGTAATTGAAAGATTTCATTCCATCCTGTAGAGTGTGAATTAATGGGAAAACCTCTTTCTGTTTCCATATCAACAACATTGCAACGCATTGTACGCCTTTTGAATAATGTGATTTCAACATTTTGTATCACCTAAATTATTAAAAACACCAGAATACAGTTTACATTTATCATATGTTGAAATTACTCTTGAATTATAATTTACTGTGTGAAGATTTCAAGGTTTCAAAGATTTCAGAGACTATACTGAAATTGACTATGATTCGTTAAATAATATGCTTGAAAAGTGCTCATAGATCTAAGTTCAAGGAATACATTGGATCGTATCATGTTTGTGTAGTCCTTGTTACCGATCAAATTACTTTGAGCAAACTGCTATGTGACTGTTAGTCCAGATGACGTAATTTCTTGCTCACTATACTTTGTGTCAAGTGCTGGAATGTAGTCGGCACAAAAACGTGCGACTTGGGTTTTATCTTAGATGACATTTATCAGAAAGGTGTACTTGCATTATTCAATTGGCTGAAGTTCTTCATGGAAGTGTAGTGACCTACTTTTGTCAACAGAACGCGATTGGTTCGATGAAAACAATTATTATTATAACCAATTGTACCAGTGACTCTTTTACTGTGCTCGTTTGTTTAACTGTGCTAATAACAGCCATTTTGGTCTTCCATTGTATTCCATTGCTTCTACGCGGTTTTCGACTACGCACGTATCTTTTCTTGCCGATCGCACCTGTACTCCTTTGGCACGATCTCGGTATTCTTTCGATACCACGAGATCGCCAACAAATATATTACAACTACCATTATCATCTGCCTTCTGATTTTTGGCCTACCGGAATCTTATTGGTCTATTGGCACGAAGTCTGGTAGCGGTGTTCATAGTCAAGCTCAACTCGACACCACGCTACATTTGGTGAGCCAAATTTTGGAACACGCCTCAACTTCGGTCAAATCTTCTGCAACTGGTGAACCTACATCTACGACCACTTGGCAATCGCAACCAAACCTTCCAAAGAAGTCAATTTTGGTGAGTCTATCGCTTATCTATCCACGTCTGTCATATATTTTCATATTAATTTTTAACATATAATATATTTGACATGACGGATAACGATAAGAATAGTATTGACGTAATAGACTCTGACGTACAGGTTATACACTTTCGACCTGTATCTTTTATTCCTCACGATCCCGAAGTTTGATTTGGTGCTATAGAGTCTCAATTTGAGACCCGTCATATTACAAGCCAACGGCAGAAGTACACTTACGCTCTCGAATGTTTACCGGGAGACCATTTAGTAGCTGTCCGTGAGGTTGTCCTCAATTCCAATGTGCCTAATGTTTACGATCGTCTCAAGGAGGCGATCCTCAGACATTTCCTCCCATCGAGGGAGGAACGATTGAGGACGTTATTAGCACGTCACCCCCTGGGTGATGCTAAACCGAGCCACCACCTCACGCGCCTGCAATCTCTTGCAGGACCCACGGCAGCCGATTCTGAAATTGTTAAAGAACTGTGGCTCGAATCTCTACCAGCATTTATCCAACCTACAGTTACGGCCCTGCTCGAGGACGCACCACTGAAACAGGTAGTCCTCACAGCAGACAAAATTCTAGCTAGGACTGGCAACCGAGACAACTACGTAGTTGCCTCAACGTCGCGTCCGAAAGTCGATATCGACGGCAGCCACTCCTCGGCTCAAGGTGACAGGGAAGAATGTATTCACACACGTCTTAGTTTTCGAGACCGTTGTGTTCATAGTCAAGCTCAACTCGACACCACGCTACAGAAGTAAGAAACGTGTCACCCATTTTATGGGTAAAGATTTCTCTATTGAGTTCCTTCAGGACTATATAAGGTCTCCATTGATCAACCCATAAAATTTGATCACTGAACACAATGTACTTCAATCGCCTATTTCTTATTCAATAACCACCAAAATTAAGTGATTTGATCATTTTTCCTCACCAAATAGTCATAATATATAAAGTCGATTCCCCTTCTGATTAACACACCTAACATACTATAGTTAGTTATATGTTGGATGTCTATTAATATAAAACTAAAATTTGGACAATACAATACAATATGATTTCAAATTAATCATAATCATGTTGTGTGTATTGTGGTATTTAATTATTATCTAGTGTTCAATTGAGTGCAGATAAGGAGGTCACCCACACTAGCCTATACTGTGGTTCTTATACTTGCCACAATTTATCATGCAGACGATCTTTGGTTTGTTTTTGTGTCTTTTATTATGTGTGATGTTGTCTACAATGAATTAACAGGCTTATGAAGTACACCTATTCTTAGCTATCTTAGTAATGTAATTTTGATCTCAACAGTACTATGTCGTATTCTGACTGGCAAAAAAGTCACATGATAATTGGCCGGGCTTAAAAGCCACAACAAATTGGCGACAAGGGGTTTTCGCTGACAAAGAATACACATCAATTTGTCTATCACAATCCAGTTCGCACCGTGTTTTCAGATGTTTCCTCATATACTTCACGAATATCAAAAGAACTCTACTGACGTACACATCTAAAAGCTTCAATAGATCTTCTCTCTCTACCCTGAACAACGAATAAATTTCGAATTTACCCATTCATTTCTACTGACAGTAATCAAGAGATCATTAATTCCAAATGCTCCCACACATCCTTTTCGAAAGACTACTTCAATTTCAATAAAAGCAGATCCTTATCGTCTCTAAATTGAACTGTGTTTGGAAGGTAGATTGTGTTAAATTTGGTACATCTAATACTGAATTCTTTACGGGAAATCGTGATCCGTACCAAGAAACAGCTAAACTATATTCATCAGCAAGGTGTACCTGCATTCTTCAGGGAAATGACACTCCCTGCTCCACAGTCCGAGACATTATCACTGGGCTATCCGGGATGAGACTGACTTCCTGTAGGGCTGAGATCTATTTACAATTTCGAGTCACCTAGACTAGTGCCTATATTGCAACTTGGTTGAAAGGATTCAATCTGCACTAAGAAAGACTTGATACACATGACATTGATCACCACCCAGTGACCAATCAGCTGTAAATAGACTAGGATCACATGACATCAACTTGATTAAACCTAATTGAATAGTACCAAATATTCTGGTTCAATTATTGATACCATTTCAGCATATAAAATAATGTAATCAGATTTTGAATTATCGTAATATATTCATTGAATGGATCAAAATAAATGAGAAAAAACTGGATTAATTATTTAACAATGGTAACTACTACTAACTTGTATATTTAATCGACGCACAATATTACTTGATTCATTATCAATTAAAAGTTTCAATGGTATGGATTCACCATGGTAATATACATCTTTTGGTAATATTGCTGTAATATGCAATTGACCTGAATGAAAATGAAATGGTTGAATGATCTCTTTGGTATAAACATTATCATCTGGCTTTGGAATAGCCAATGTAAGTCTACGTATAACCAGATTAACCGCATTTCGTTTTCCAATTGTACATTGTGGCGTTTCTGATGCATAAACCTATAATTGAAGATTGGTACAAATTTTATGGTAATAGAATAATTATTGTTCTAGTAAACTGTTTATAATATACATACTTTCAAACTTGATTCTTTTTGTTTGTCATTCTTTACTACTTATCAACAACCAGTAGTTGGTATTTATTCATCAGCATAGGATTGCGGAGTTGATTGAGTATTTGTTGAGATCACAACCGAACAATGTAGAAACACTGTACAGCTGTATCGTACGATTGAGCATTCACGATGGCACACGTGGGACTACAACCATAACTTTCGGTCTGTCGTGCTTGTTTAACCTCTAGATCAGTGAGCAATCATCCAACGGTGTTCATGTCTAACTTCAACCAATCAACGATATCGCGCGACCATGTCCCATTGTTTTCGGTAGGTATTTATTCATTTGTACGAATAAAACACAGGAACAAACCACATTTAATTGTCTTTCAGATCTATTTGTCTTATCTGTATATACATATAGTCGAACACTTTCCCTCTGTCTTAGTTCAGTGCTCTTTGGAACTGACTGTCTTGATTGTGTTATGAAAATTGCTCCTACATAACTGTACTTGGCGTAATTGTTCATATGTTTCTGTCCTACAATGTGAAGCGCATTTGTATTTTGATTCACATATTTCTAAGATAGATTTTCCATATAAGATTTATGAAGAACGTCCCATAACATATTTTACTTCTATAACATTATCGTAATTTCAGAGTGACGATATATTATTTCCACGCAACGTTTACGCTCGTTACGTTCGCATTGGTAAAGATCTATGTGTTTGCAATTAGAAATAAGTTCGTGAGAGGTCACTTAAATCATTTTAAGGTCATTATTTGTTCACGTCATGTGAGTTTAAATTTCCGAAAAAATTAGAACTCATGATATTTTGAAATAAAAATGGATTAACGGATTCTTTGATATTTGAAACATACGTCGTTGCGGTGTCTCACTATATTTATGGACCGTGATGCAATTTTCAGTCGATAGACTGTGAATCACACCGTGTATAATCCAGAAATGCGATGAATAACATTTTCGATACTGAACTAACCATATTTACACGTAAATAATAGTTCTATTACTATTATTATTATTATTATTATCAATATTATTATTATTGTTATTATTATTATTACAATTATTATTATCAGTAGTAGTAGTAGTGGTTGTTGTTGTTGTTGTTGTATGCGAAGTGTATTCACATTGTTTCTTTAGTTTTGTAAAGTATATTTCTACTCTACACTGACTGGTTTCTGAATGGCTTATATTTCTCAAGGTCACATAAGATTTGTTCAAAGGTAGTTCACAGAATTCTCAACTCAAATTGTTTCAAGTGGTATCCTTTGCTTATTTCCTGATCGATATTGACGGTAAATATTAATTGATCTCCAATTGGATGCTAGCAATTCAATGATCATCACCTGAATAATGTTTATGCTTTTCGATGCATAATGTCTTTTTTGTAACGCGTACAGCAGAAGGTTGTAAACATATCATAGACGCACCAAAAAAGTTTGTCCAATTAATGAACATAGTGTTGCGTTAAAACAAACAAAAAGCAAGTTAACTTTGGAATATCTAGATGTCAGGGACAGGTAGGTCATATTTATTCAAGCAGGCGAATCCTAACTTGGATTTCTGAAGGGAAACGGAAACGAGGAAGACCAAAGAACACACTGAGTTGGGAATTGTGAGATATGAAAAGGATGCTTCATAATAGGAGACTTTAATGCACCTGATATTAGTTGGACTGAGATGTCCACGGAAGGATCTATAAACTCCTTTGATATCAGGTTCCTGATAACAATAGTGGAGCACGCATTAGTGCAGCATGTATCCAAACCCACACGTTTTGGTGCTAACCAAGGTTCTCTGTTGTACTTGATAATCACTCAAGAGACTGGGGATATTGTCGACCTAAATATTCTTCCATTGTTAGTGAATAACGATCACGCCGTTTCGTCATTCAGGTTTAGAATTATGGACATGATATACGATCAGGTTACGCCCCGTCCAAATGTATAGAAGGCTAACATATCAGCCATTCAGGAATGCGCTGCTAGGATAGATTGGTTTATAGACACTAGCTTATCAGTTGAAGAAGCATGGTCTGTATTTAGGGGGATTTTAGTTTAGTTACGTCCTTGTTCATATCATACCTGGTAACGCGAAGACCGAATAACATCCACCATGAACAACTAAACCAATCAGGAAACTTCTTAGAAGAGGGAGAAAGTACATGAATATGTTCATCTCTACTAGCTTAGAACAGTACAGATTATGTTATTGTAAGATTAGGAATGCCTGTGATACGTTAATAAGTAAGACTAGATGACCATATGAAAAATAATTGGTTAGGGATTGTAGATATAGTCCAAAACGGTTATTCTCGTATATAAAAAGGCGAACTTGGAAAAGCGATGGAATTCCGTCACGTTTGATATAAGAAAATCCGTTAATCTTGGCAAGAGATGATATCAAAAAAGCCGAAGCTTCATCGGAATATTTCAGTAAAGTGTGTTTTACCAGTAATGAGGAATGAAAACGATTGATTGTGATCGTGGCGGCTCGCTGATGGACCCTGTAGTCATTGAGAAAGGTGCTGTCTTAAGGCTACTTCAGCATCTCAAATCTGACAAGTCCAGTGGTCCTGGTGATACTTATTCCAGGATTATAAATGCCGTATGAGATGTAATTGCTGAACCATTAGCGATACTGCTTGACATGTCTCTGAAGCAGTCTAGACTGCCCAGAGACTGGAAAGACGTGATAATTAGTCCGGTGTATAAGGCTGGGAGTAGGGATTTAGATAGTAATTATAGACCCATTAGCTTAACTAGTGCAGTTGTAAAACTGATGGAAGAAATCACTCGGATATCTGTTATAAACTATGTTGAAGGGCATAATTTATCTCCAGGGAACAACTTGATTTTCGGAGAGGCCTATCATGCTTGACAAATCCCCTCATTGCAATAGAAGATTAGGCTGCTGCAAAAGATCGGAATATTCCTGTTAATGTGATCTTGATAGATCTAATTAAATCCTTCGATAAAGTCTCCCATTCTGGTCTCAAATTCAAAATGGAAAGTTTTGGAATCCATTATACTGTCGTAGATTGAATAAGTAACTTTCTCGATGACAGGAGATAAAGGGTAGGGGTTAATGAAGCTCTCTCCTCGTGAGTACCTGTAAAAAGTGGAGTTCCCCAAGGTACAATCTTTGGGATACTGCTCGGGTGACCAAACCGAAGCAGATGTCTTTCTTAGTGGGCCACGCTCAGAGCCTTTGACCTAAAGCTCGAATTCATAAGGCACTGGAGCAACTTCAGAAGTTACAGTCTCGTGGTAGCCTGTGACCAACAACTGGTTCACACGCCATTCGTTTCCTTAGGATCCTAGAGCCCATGCACACTAGTGGTTTGAAATCAGGGTTTTCCAACTCTCCTAAGTGAACTCTCTGCATCCACCATCCTAGTTAGAGTGCCGGATATTTGCTTTTAGTCTTCTAAATTTCGTAAACGACACGCCATCTGCGAGAAGGTAGTGAGCGGGAGTTCTCTGGTGGTGGTTGTATTCACGCGGACACTTGGAAGCATTTCGAGAGGCAGATTAGACTCTCCCGACTCTCTCACCAGTTATGTAATAGTCATAGTATTGATAGGAAAAATATTTTCCCTATGCTGATTGGTTGTAAATCTCTATAATTATTTTTGTAAAGGATATTTTTTGGTGTGTGTGCTACTGATGTCAATAAATTTAAGTAGTATGTATCATCAATCGAAAGTGAAATGCTTGGTAGCAGAGGGTTAAAAAGATCAAATAGAAGGGAACGAGAACAGAGACTAATTGGTGTGGAATCGAAAAAACAATAAAGTCTGAGACGACTGATTGACATTTCGCAAATAAATTATTTATTGTATGGTACTTAGAATTTACTATGACGTTCTGTAATTTTATACTCAAATACATTCCCAATTGTGTTCTCGTTCACTACAATTTATGCATGATATAACGATGTGAAAGTTTTATTTAAAAATTGGTTTTTAGTTCGTAAATATTAACTTATTGTGATATCATTCACTAAGGGTGAGCGAACTAAAAGCTTGGCACTCATCTCATTCAGCAATCAATAGACATATTGAAATAGACCGAATAATCAATCAATTAGAAAAGGTTACAAACAACTATGAGACCTCAAATCAGAATAAATGAAAAGACAATGATAAGCGTTGACAACAATCAATTGCTAAATCCAGTGAAAAAAGAACAAGCATCTATCTACTGCAGAATAAATTTTAATTATTCACTTTAATGCGACGTTTTCTCTTAGTGATATTGTTTAAAAAGATAATCAAATTTACAATATTGAAGCATATATCTGATAAAGCACAATATCATTAAATGGTCATTTGTAATGGTTGAAGGAAATGAACTAGAGAATTAGTGAAAACTGACGTATTCTGAATAGACATCGAAAAAAGATGAATCGCTGAAGTATTCTTATTGATTAGATATGAATATTACGATTTTATTCCCGTTTGTATTTTCCACTTTAAAATGTAAAAGAGTTTCAGAGTAAAAAGATCAACTAACATACAATTTTATCAAAATCAAACGAAAGAATAATTTGTAGTGCCCTTAACTATGCATATATATAAGTTATTATCAATTAGCAATGAACGTCCTTTAGGTAATGTTGAAGAAAAGTGAAATGTTATTAGCTGACATCATACGTCAATTAAAGCTAAACCACCATGGAAAACCCTGAAAAACTGGAAGGCAGTTTCGTCCGACTGTGGCTTCCCCGATCACGCTTCACAAGATTCCAAGTTTTCAATGGTGGTCTAGCTTCAATTAACTCATGAATTCAATCATTGAATTGTTGTTATATCCACAAAAACCCTTCTCTGATCATAAAAAATATATTACCAGTCGAAATAGTACCATTTACTTACTTGTAGAACATATTCAATTCCACATGGATTGTCATCTAATGAATTCCTATTATCCATTTGTAATGTAATGGAAGCTGGAATATCATGTGTTAAAGTGAAACGAAACGGTAGAGCACTATCACCAAAACGTTCAATAAGATGTTTCTAATGAAAATAAATGAAAATTAAATCATATCAACTGATTTGATTGTAAAGAGTTAAACACACTTGTGAAAATTAAACATTGAACTACAATTCGAACACTAACTACCAGGTGACAATCAAACTTAGAAAGTTGGATGATTGGATCTAGTCAGCAATAAACTTGAGGACTGGATCACATGAATGCTGATAGCTACCATCAAGATATACTTATAATCTTATATAATCTGATGCTTACTGTGGGATTGGAACCTTAGTCGGCCAAGTATCATCGTTAGAGAAATTACTGTTGAATAATAACAGCAACAACAACAACTGATTCCCTGTGGAACCAAAGTCTAGTTTTGTAGTTCTTAGACAATACATTGTATTCTGTGAAAGAAATTTAACCTGAGTATTATAATAACTTAATCTAGAACCTCAGCGATAGACTAGAAATTTAAATCATATCCGTCATTAGTTAGTTGTTCTTTGCAAATGAACTTAGCATCTAAAGATAAGTGGGGTAAAACCTGATCATTTTAAATGAAATCAAAGATTTTTTGGTGGGGGTGATCCAACTTTCAAATAAGGAAACCAACACATTATCATAGCAATATAGCTATTTATAATGCTAAACCTTGTCTGAATACATATCATTGCAAGTGTTGACAGAACTGGAAGTATAAGATTAGTTTTCACTACGAATGTTTATCGTATGAAGAGTGAATTTGGAATTTTCACAGGATCACGAAATCGCTCTTTCTTCTAGCTGTAGATGCTTTAACAATACGCATCTAAAATCTAACGTGACATGGTATCCTGAACCTATAGATCTTTCATTAATGACAAAATGAACTACACATTATGCTTGAAGTGTTGGGCATCATTGCTTAATCCCTTAATAGCATAGTGAATACTTCGAATTTTCAGTCTCAGGTTGAACATTGTTGAAATGTTTCAAACTAAAACAATTGAGTCACTTTTAGTCCATAGTTGTTTCCAACATTTTGTCACAATTAATCTTCATAAACCATGTAACATGAACTGAAGATTGTACTCCTTTATATTGGTGATGCGTGACATCACCGTCATCTGATGCTTGGAGAACAGTCAACGTGAAACACCATGATACCCAATGTTTGTGCTAATTAATACGGACATGATCATATTTAAACTGTGTTTAGTGGAGAAATTTAAATTGAGCATTTCGTCTTATCAATGACTCATCAGTTGGATATATACACATATGAATACCAATGTCGATATTCACACTGAGAATAAAACTTCAGTTCTTAATACATTTCATTTAGTACACTAAAGTGTTATCGAACTAAACTATTGAATTCAGATAACGACTAGCGTATTTAAGTGGGAAATATACACCATTACTTATGTACTGGGTTTGAATCCCGCGGGCGGGATTATGGATGCACAGTGCTGAGGAGTCCCATACTAGAACGAAACGACCGTCCAGTGATTCATGGTGGTCTAGCTTCAATCGAATCGTGAATTCAACTATACCATTATATATATACAACAACATAGATATTCATATGAAACATTTATCAATATACTACTTAAACAAACTCACTTGTACATCACTGTATTTATCTTTATCTTCATTCATATCAACTGGATAGATTTGTTTAGTTTGTATAAAAAACTCTTTGTAGAATGTTACACCAGATAGAACATCATCTAATTGTTGTTCACCATAACGAAATGTACAACGTATACGTGCAAATATTTTAGAACATTTTAATTTATTCTTATCAATTGTAGCAACACCTTCAATTGGATCAACCACTTGTAAATCATCAAATATATCTCGTTGTATTAAATATACTACTAATTTATCATTTGGACTATTCTTTTTATAAACACTACGTTTAGTAGACATGATTATTAAGTTAGAAATGATAAATTAATTTCATTTTGAAAGAGTTTATATATGAGGAAATATGAAATATGATAACTTTCAATGGATTCTATTGTCATTAATGATGAGTGATGAGATTAGTGATGACTAAGTCGCTCCCCATTTCTCACACTTCAAGTAAGATGGACAAGAAAGAAAACAAAAACAACACAAACGAATTCTCAAGGAAGAAACAATGCGACGTCGATCATATTTCGATAAGCCAAACATTGGCAAGTTAATCTGAATAGGATCCATATCAATTCCAAGAAGGAAAGAAATTGTGAAATATGAACCGGATTATTGAAAATTTAATCGTTTATCAGAATATTTAAGTAGAAAATGAAAGATTAGGGTGTTAAAGTATAAACATTTATGTATTTAGTTTATTTCTGTGTGTATAAACGAAGTATCATTTGAATATTAGTGGATTAGTAATATTACTTAAGTGTTAAATGCTTATTAAACATGTGGAATGTTCAATTTTAGTTTGTGAATTTGTTATTTTATTGTATTTGAACACATAAATATTGGTAGAAAAGGGAACCGAATACATGTGCACCACACAAGTTACTTGATTTGCCTATGGGCTATGATGCTATTTGGGCGTCCGGATCCAAGCAGGTGGTTTTCTTAGGCGGCCACATTCTGAGCCTTCGACCTAAAGGTCTGATCCCCAACGTAGTGGAGTAACGTAAGGCGATGCAGTCTGATAGTGGCCGGTGACCGACGATTGGTTCATACACTAATTGTTCCCTTAGGATCCTGGAAAACATGTGCATCATTGGTTTGAAATCAGGGTTTTCCAACTCCCCTAGGTAAACCCTCTCTATCCACCAACCCGATTAGGATGCCGGACATTCGCCTTTCGTCTTCTGGATTTTGTAAACAGCACGCCAGCCACCAGAAGGCAATGAATAGGACTATCCTGTCAGCGGCTACGTACGTGTGACCATGTGGGAGCACTTCGAGAAGGAGAGAGCTGACTCTTCTCATCCTTTATCGTACCAGGGCATTTGATGAAGTGTTTACCAATAAGTAATTGATGTGTTGGCGAGAATGATAATGATTGGTTATTTGCTTAGTCAGACATGCAGATAGTCTGACAGGAATTAGATGAGTTATATATTCCCCTATTCCTATTATTATTATTATTATTAATTATTATTGATTGTTCATTTTTGTTGGATTTTGTCGGGTTCTGGCGCGGAAATTTATTTACATTTCAGTCAGGCTAATCACGTATTCTTGATCTGAGTTGTGTTGAAGTCTTGTGGAATAGACACTGGGGGAAAATCTAGTGTAGATATTGGTCTAAGGTAAATTAACGTCCCGCACGTGTAGACGATGCACAACTGAACGTTATAACAGCAACCTGTAACAACGATCAGATCGTTGACAACATTTATGATCATCACGGAGAATTTTGAATTTTGTCAGGGGAGAAGCAGTATGAGTATAAGTTTGTGCAGGTTGTTGGATTTCATTAAAATCACAAAAAAATCAATTTTAGATCTCTATTAAAAACCTCGATGTATTGAATGGCCACTGATTCACAGTGTGGAACTCCTCAGCAGCGTACGTTCATGACCGCGCAACCGGGAATGCAATCCAGGACCTTGAATCTTCGGCATGAATGCTTAACACCCAGATTACTGAGCCGCAATCAAGTGGTGTACAGGTCTAACTTCAATCAATCCACAATACTGTCTGAACATATTCCATTATCTTCAATGGATACCTTCCACACTAGTACGAAACGGTCGCCTAGTGCTTCGAAGTATTCAATGGTTATCTAACTTTGATCGGTTTGTGATCTCAAGAATAATAACATGTATTAACGGTGGGTGAAAGTAGCAATCAGGTTTTAATTATGTTGTATTTTGAGACTTTTATGGTTTAACTGTGTGGCTCCAATTAATATTCTAGACACTATCATCAATGCATTATTCACACTGATGTAATAATTAGTAATCAATCCTGATAAGAATGAATCATAGTGGAAAATGGCATTCTGACATTTTACTGTAAGTATATTTAACAAAATGTAACAACACTAAAATAACAAGATATCTTAGTGAAAAGGAGAGATGTCAATCGATAAAATCTTCAATGGGAAGCACTGAAATAGCCTATCAAATGCTTTTAAATCACATCAATTACTCTAATCAATCACCTATTACTATTATCGCTAGTGTGGTGTGTGCTACTGATATCGACAGATATAAGTAGTATGTATCGTCAACCGAAAGTCAAATGCTTGGAGGCCGAAGATCGAAGAAAATAGAACGAGAATAAAGAATGATTGATGTGGAAACGAAATAACAATAAAGTCTCAGACGATACCAGATATACTCTTTACTTGACGGAATACAAAGTCAACACAACAAGCATAAACAGGCAAAGGAACATACTGCGTTCACTGCTGCATCTAAATCTATGCCTTATGTCGTCTCCTCACAAAACACGTAATAAAGAACGAAGATCACAACATTCACTTCTTACAGCACAATGGAGTGACGTATTATGACCAAACCGTCATATGTGAACTGTTAAGTGAATGGTTTTCCCACAACAGCAACACATCTTATACGTCAGATATTGACATAGAGTGCATCAGCGAAAATTATCCTAGCATCATAAACTTCGACATAAGGAGTATACATAACGCCATCAATACCCTTAAGCCGAATTCGAGTTCTGGTGCTGATGACATCCTATCAATCCTTCATAAAATGTCAGGACCGGACATACAGACGCTATTACTCAAAATATATACATTATCTTTAGAGACAGGTACATATCCCGAAACACGAAACGTGACGCATGTTCTGCCTAAACATAAGCCAGGTTCGAGAAACCAGTTCGAAAACTACAGACCTATAAATATCACTCCAGTTGTATCACACATAATGTAAAAACTGATATAAAATCAACTAACTGATCACCTGCTTAAGGAAGATCTAATAGACCCGTCACAACACGGTTTCATTGGAACAACGTTCTGCAGTACACTTCTGATAGACTACTGTAACGAGGTTGCTCGCATACATGATCAAAAGAAACTAGTGTTTATGTGGTGTGTGCTACTTATGTAGACATAAGTAGTATATGACGTGGGTCGTGAACAGAATTTCTGGCAGTAGAGAGACGAGAACATCGAACAGTAAAGAATGAAGACAGAATGCAATTTGTATGAAAATGCAAGAACAAAGGAATTCTGACTCATTTGAGTCAATTGATGGACATTTTGCAAATTGAGCATTTACTATATGGTTGTTAGTTTTTACTAACTAATTCTGTAATTCGTCCTACGCAATCGATTGTCTCCATTTGATAAAATACATCATAACATCCTAATCAATAGACTTCAGTAAGTTAGAATTACTAATCCCCAATTGCAATGGATCAAGTCTTTTTTCACAAACAGATGCCAAATAACCAAGATTAACTCTACCACATATACACCTCGACCAATAACCGGTGGTGTTGTGCAGGGTAGTGTCTTGGGTCCATTGCTCTTTACAATCTACATCAACAATATATGCAAGTGCTTTAGCACAGGTAAGACCTATCTGTGCGCTGATGACTTAAAATTCATCTATAAAACTGACATTTGCGACGTAGTACCATGCAAACAATCCAACATGAACTCAACATGGTTGACGACTGGTGCAAACGCTGGAGGTTAGAGCACAAGACAGAGAAATGCAGCTGGCTATGTATGGGAGACACGTCTCTTAAAATAAAACTAGCACTTAACAAGAACACACTGCCAGACTGATACCAAAGTATATCTGGTGCAGGGCACTAAAGTCCTTTGATATATAGTACGTTCTTTTTAGTTTTTGCAGCTTAGACCTAGTCTTTTGGTTGATATAGGGAATAATTATTTTAAAAGCAATTTTAGAGGGAATGGTAGTATCCAGTGCACATTTGGTGGTAGTATTGGATATTCATAGTGTTTCTAAGAGGTTATCACTGATAAAGAAACTGCTCCAGTCAGAGTACTTTATTACAAATCGAAAGTTTCCCAGTCAGCGTTTGTATAGTCTCTATATTGGAAACGCGTATTTAATGTCTTCAATTTGTTGCACTTGGCAAGAATCGGAAGGGTACAGAGGACTATTTTATGATCGGTGTTGTGAAACCTTTCGCCAACCACAACTGATGTTGGTGTGACATTGTGACAGAATATCAAGTCACGAATGTTGTGATGGTATTCGTAAGGTATTATGAGTTGATTAAAGATAGTGCATTCGTTATTTATAAAAGTTATGTATTACAGGTTTGACGAATACTATACAATGTGAGGACTGTTAAGATTATAAGAATTTCAGAGAATTTCTGTAGGTTTAGTTCTAAATTAATCAACATAGATCGAAGATATCAATTTATATAGGAAAAGTTAACCAGCCATATAGTGAGAGGTCAATCAAACACAAGATGGTCAGTAGGAATGTAAAAACAAGTAAAGAAAACAAGACCATCAAAACGAACTAATTTAGTATTCGTGGAATTATGTTGCATAGAACGATAATGAAGACTTAGGAATAATGCCATTCAATGCATAAAACAACAACAAGCTCTATGAAGTTATCATTGTCGAAATATTGCCGAGTAAAACAGAATACTCTTTTTCTAAATCTGTTCAAAATTAACACGGAGAAACTGTAGAGTTAATGATACATTGTTTGACAAATAACCACTCTTGTAATGACATTTTAAATAACTTTTGATTTGTGAATATTTTCTTCTCCTCATCGATACGTTGAAATTATGATTGTCACTCTGTAGTTTACAGAGTAATGTAATTTTCTAGAACGGAGATACCAGTGTAGTGAACGAGAGTACAAGTGGGCATAGTCAAATGCATTTGAACAAAAAATCACAAAAAATGTAGTAAAATCTAAAAACCATACAGTAAATACCTCATTTGCGAAATGTCAATCAATTGTCTCACACTTGACAGTTCCTTTTTG